GACTCTGGACAGGCTACTGGATTTTTCTGAGGCTGTTTCCTCACATGTGAAATCTACCTCATGGGATGGTTATGAGGATTAAATTAGTTACTGTGTTTAATACAGTCAATGCTCAAGGTGGAGGCTTTTGGCAGTATTTTTCTGCTTTAGTGGCAGTGCTCAGCCTTTTTTTAACTAGTTTTTTATCACTCCTATTAAGCATGTGATCAAGTAAATACGTAAACTTTCTCATACAAACAAGTCAGCAAGTCAGGTCTCCTCCTTTTCTTACTACCTTATTTTTGTTTTAACCAACACTAGCTTCTAGATTTATCCCTCTAACATTTTGTCTTGCAGATTTCAAATTAGCGTTCAGAGCTGTTGGATAATTCTGAATTTTGATTCTATCTTCTATGATGTTACTTATACCTCCCAACTGTTACCTACAAACTTGATAAGCATCCCTAGGCTTGCACCTGACTATGATTTTAAAAAACAATCAAACAAACAAGAGATTGAATTGGACAAGGACTAAGATAAAACTGATGACGCCCTCCCTGGCTGACAGACTCACTAACCTACTTTCTTTCTGTATGAAGACCAGCTCTGTACCCACCGTACTGTGCTTTTTCCCCTTAGGAGATCATCAAATATCTTGCCAAAATAAAAATCCACTACATATGCAATGTCTCACAAATGCACAACCCTAGTAAATGAGATGAGGGCCCCATGGTGGTGGTTTAGTCACTAAGTCATATCCGACTCTTGGGACCCCATGGACTGTGACATGGAGAAGTTGGAGTGAGTTGCCATTTCCTTCTCCAGGGGATCTTCCCGACCCAGGAATCAAACCTGCAATGCAGGAATCTGCCTGCAATGCAGGAGACCCTTTACCCACTGAGCTATGAGGGAAGCCTATATAGCTTTTTTTAATAGTAACTTTTTAAATAATCCTGTATTTAATCCTTAACAATCCCCAATGATCACTGAACTTAGTTTTAAAGGTCCTGAACGTGTCTGCTTCCCAGTTTCCTGGGTGTTCGGCAGGGATTGAGCTCACACTTATGTTCTGAGGTCCCCGTGTTCAGTCCTCTTGCCCTGTGTGGAAATTAGTGTGTGCCAATCTTTCATTTTGGATACATATCTCACTTGTTTTCAGAATTTCTCAAAGCTTAATAAAAACAGCTCTGTGATTATAACTGCAGTTGCTTGTAACATGGACATGATTCTGTCAGGGCTGCTTTCTGAAAACCCTTGACCCCTTCCCAAGCCCTCACCTCTCCCCACTTCTGCTCACTCCATCCATCTTATAATTCAGTGCAGTGTTAACTACCATCCAGTGTGTAGTTATCCAAGTCTTATAAGTACCTGGTAGCATTTCCCAAATGTAGCATCAACTGGAACTTTTCTAAAGATAGACTCCCAAGCCCACCTGGATCATCACATCCAGCCAGTTTTTAGTCAGCCAGCACCTTCTGAGGACTGTCCCATGGAAACCATAAGAACTTACCATCTGTCTGCCTCTTTCTAGACATGGGAAACCCACACTTACCCACTCACCCTTGAACATGAACCACAGGCTCCCAGGCTCTTCAGCCCAGCATCCGGCACCATATCCACGCACTTTCTCTTCCCTACCTGCCTTCCCTCTAGTCACTCTCACCCCAATCAAATCCTCCTTTATGAATCCATTCTCTGCAGGCTCAGAGCCTGCCCTGGAAATCACTTGATATTCTCAAATTGACAAGATCTGTTGCATCTCCACAGGCTAGAGAAGGCAATATATTTGCCAATATTTCTATTATGTCTCCTTCAGCCTTCACATCAGCTTGAAAGGCAGGTCTGGGAGGACAGATGCCAGCAGACTCTGTATGAAGCCCTGTGCCCTGCCTGCAGGGAAGACAGGCAGGGGCCTTCCTGGGTACTGATGAGTGAGGCTGGGGAGCTGTTGCAGGATTCTTGTCCCTTCCAGGGCAGGAAGCGCTGAGACGTCCAGGTTAGCATCCACATCCACCCAGTGAGGTGCATGCATATAGGTAGCCCAGGAATGGTTGCGTGCACTTTCAGATCAAGGGCATCTGCATTTCTGCCTCCTACAGTGGGACCCAGAAGAGGAGCCAACAAACCACCAACTAGGACTCCTGAGACTGGTCCTCATATTTTGACTTGCTCCTGACCTCCAGCCACCTTAAGCCTCTGCAATATGGAGAGATGACGGGCTTTGCAGCAGGTTTAGAGAACCTGAGGTCCATCTCTGCCAGCCATGAGCTGTGAGACCTGGCAAAGTCATGGAACCTCCCTAGATTAATGCCTGCCACCTAGAGTGGTTGTCAGGGTTGGAGGAGTTGAAATGAGCTACCAGAATAAAGTTCCCCATGCATGGCACTGGGTAAGCTTTCTGTAACTAATTATTCCTATCCTCCCCTATCTCAGGCCAGGTCCTCCATCAGAGCCTTGAGTTTCCTCTTCTGCTGTGTGTGTGCTGTGTCTTCCCCAGCTCCACATCCCTTTGGCTGATTCTCCAACAGTAATAGCGTTAGTCAGAATGACGGATGTCTGTGGGAGAAGATGCACTGATGCAATTCAGTGCATGAGGCTATGAGTTCAGAGAACCAGAGTGCAGAGAGGAGCCAGGTTTCAGGGACTGGGTAAAAAGAGAAGGGTTATGAATAGAAAGAAAGAGCATTTATAAAAGGAGAACAGATTTAAAAAGAAGACAGACTTCTAAGGCAACAGAGGGACTGAACTCTGGTGCAGGAAGAACTCTGTGTGCCCAAGTCCTGGGGATGAAGACTGCACAGCTTGTCAACACTGTCCTAAGCCATCTTCAGTGGTTTCTGCTACTGAGGACTGGGTGTTGGGTCTTCTGTGGACCCTGAGAACTAGGGAGGCTTGATTCTCTTGGCCATAGAGGTGAGAATTCCCCAGCAGGAGGCTGTGAGCACTTTGAAAGCCTATCTGTGCATGTGGGTGACATGTGGTGGCCCAGGAAAGCCAGCCCCTCCAGAAAAGGAAGTCAGGTCTGAGGGTGAAGAGGCCAAAAAGGCAGCATGATGCACCCCAGCTTGATGCTTGGGAACTCTCTGTACCCCAATGAAGGGTACAAGGTTTAACTCGCGTGCCTTTAAAAGGAGGGGCTCCCTCCTAGGGTACCCCATTCTCACTTTGGGCGTCTTTAGTTTTCAAAATGGCATTCCACATTTTGAACCCAATTTTGTGTCCTCCGCTTTCAGGTGGACATGGCCATCTTTAAATGTTTCTTTCATCCAAAGAGTTCAAAGGATGCCAAATCTGAAATCGACTGCATAGTGGCTCTCAAGGTGGCCAGGCATCAGCCCAGAGCAGTGAGGCGGGGTGATGTCAGAACCCCAGGAGGCAGAGGCCGGGAGGCGGGGTGGTGGAGAGAGCCCACCAGGTAATCCTGATGCACTCTGGAGGGAGCACCTCCACGTGAGAATCACAGACAAATCAAAGTCTCTGTCCTTAGGAAGCTAAAGACCTGCCTGGAAGGGAAATGCGTCAGTTTATGTTAAGTAAAAGTATCTGAAGATTTTGCTTTGAGGTGCAAAATCAGAATGTGAGCAAAGGAGAGAGAATACATTAGGATTTCCCTCTAAAACCAATGACGTCTGGTTAAAGTGGAGGCCTAGGTGGCCTGCTGGGGGAAAGAAAGAGGGATAGATGGACCTGGAGTGTTGCAAGAGCTGTGCCTGTAGCCTTAGAAGGGGGCTGTTCTCCCAACCTCCCTCCCCCGACCCCAGTTTGTGTTGCTGAACATGGGTGTAAGCTGGACCACCCTCAGAGAGCCTTGGGGTCTCAGCCGGTGCCCAGTCCACAGCCCCATCCCCGCCATGACTTACAACAGCATCCCAGCTGCCAGGGTCTTAGTCCTTTACAGACCCTTGGTAGGTTCTTGGTCTTGGATTGAAAACCCTGGGGAATAAAGCCATATCTACAGAGCAACCTTTGCACAGCCGCAGCCTTGCTCTCACTTGAAGACAAACTCCTCCGTGGCGAAACTGCCATGCGAGTACCCCGGCATCACTCTCTTGCCTGGGGTCACCTCGGGTGAGAACTTTTGTCTCGGATGCCATTTCCACTCCCAGAACCACCCAGAGAAAGCCTGCTTATGGTGCGTGTAGACAGAGCCTGTTTTCCATGCTCATCACCCAGGGAGCAGGAAGAGGGGGCTGGTACCGAGGTGAGACGCGGCTCACGGAGGAAGCCAGAGGCAGAGAGGGCAGAGCACACAGCGCCGGGGCAGGTTTCTGAGTGTGTCCGTGGAATTTGAAAGGAGTCATTTAGAAACAGAGCATGTCTGCTGTAAGGATCTAAGCATTCTGCTTCCTGGAGGCAAGAAGCAGCCCAGCTGACCAGTGGGACCTTTGCAGACCCTGCAGTGTTGTCCTGACACACATCAAAGAATTCTGACACAGGACTTAACGCCGCAAGTCAGTAAAGGGAGATTTCAGCTATAAAAATATTCTATATAGGCTTTGAAAAAAGAGAGTAGATAATGAGTGAAAAACTTTTGAAGGCACTGCTTAAAAGAAAACACTTGGGAGATATCCCAACACTTTGGCCTCTTGGGCGCTGCTATCTTTTTAATTCCCTCCGTTCAAGTTCTCTGGCTTATCTGTGAATTTGGTTAACACATTCCCCAGCCACCCCATTGGATAAGATAAGGCAGAAGATGTTAATAGAGAACCCTCCATCTTTTTCCACCGAGTCTGATTTCAGGATTCATTGACTTGCTAAACCCAGTCTCCCTGCATTCCGTGTCCTCTATGGGCTTATCAGTGAGGAAGATAATCTACCTGCCAGACATCCAATAAGTGCCCATGATGGGTGGACACAGATGGGGTGGACAGCCTTGGTCTCTGGGGACCCAGCCTCTGGGCACTGGGGGCTGGGAGGGGGCTCGCAGTGGGGACGGGCCAGTCTGCCTATGAGGAGCCCCCTGAGCACTTGCCTCTCGACTCCGGAGCTCAGGCAGTGGGTGGCTCAGGCTTTCTACTCACCTCTGCCCGTGCTGTAATGCTGGAGCTTGTCACTGTACACAGCTTCTTTGCTGTAAGCACGTTTCCTGTGGACGCAAGGGAGAGGAGCTCTCTCAGCCAGGGTATACCCACACCACTCTGCTCCCCGGACCTCCACCCAGGCCCCCTGTTCTGATAGGGGCTCACCCGGCTTCTCCTGGGGTTGGGAACTGCAACCGTCACTTAAGCGGAACTCCTGTCGTGGCCAGCATTCTAGCTTGACCACCTCCGTGGGCAGTGGGGTCTGCTTTCAGGTCAAGGTCTTTCAGAGGTCAGGCAGGGCCAGAGTCTCTACAGATCTTGGTGAGCGGCCATGGAGGATGCCTGCTAGCACTCTGGCTGCGCTGTGGAACTTCTCGGGAGGGGCCAGCTGAATCTGGGCTAACCACCCAAGGCAGCAGCAGCAGCAGTATTAAAAATTCACAAGAACTTCCAGACCCAGCCTCCTGTAGGACCCACTCTTGCAGAGCTCCTCTTTCCCTCCTTAGCTCCCTGCTGCCCACCTGCATCCTGTGGCCAGGCCCCAGCTCTGTAGCCAGAGGATGGGTTGAGGCACAGGGCGGGATGTTTCAAAGGGTCAAATGCAATTTTGTAACTGTCACTCCAGGAAGACCATCGTGTGCCGGGGGGTTAAATGAGTGGGTGAAAAGGAGGTTGGGGGACGAATGCTCAGAGCCTTGCCCAGCCCCTCTAGAGGATGTATCCCAAGCACAGAGAAAATAAATAATCTGGAAAGTTCTAGGCTGCCCGTGAACAGAGAAGGGGTGATGACTGGTGAGCCTGACGGTGTGTCCCTAAACGGTCAGGTCCTGTTCAGTCCACATGACCGGGGAGGGTCCATAAGCCAGCCTTCCTGGGTCTGAGGACAGCAGGCAGGAGCGGGGCCAGGGGTCCTACCTGCTGCAGACGATGGAGATGGCCACCAGCGACACCACGAACACCACCCCAGCTGCCGCTGAGCCAGCGATCAGGGGCAGCTGCTCCCGCAGCTCAGACTTGTAATCATCTAGCAGAGAGAGAGGTATTAGAAGCTTCCTGTCTGCCCCCTGCATGGGGCTGCTACTCAGCGATGCTACCAAGGACGTCAGAGTGATAGACAGATAGAGTGTCTATATTTCAGAGCTGTAAGCCTGACCCAAACCAAGAGTAATCTTTAAGTCACACACACTCACAAAAACAACCCAAAACAAATAATAACAACAATAAAAGCAACATAACAGTGACAGAGGACCTCACAACTAAGAGCTGATGACATTGGCCCCAGAGCAGAGGTAACTGTCTCCATGCCCTCATTCGGAAGGCCTCTCAAAGGTCTGTCAGCCTTGCTAAGGATACATCTAACAGGGGGTATGGAAACCACTGCTGAAGTACCTTCTAAGACACAAAGTCGCTGAGATGCAGCCAGTCAACAGATTGACTGAGAGGAGACTTAAGAGCATCTGCAGCCATCCAGCACCACACCCAGTGCTGCAGAGAATGAAGACACGTCGAGAAGCAGCCCAGAACTCTCAAGCTCACACTCAAGAATAGGGTCCCGGCTTCCGCCAGTGTTAGAAACACATTGGGGAGTGGCTGCCTGAGGGTCACAGAGATGGACAGAGCTCTCTCAAACCCCGGCTTTACCATGGGGAAGCTTAGTGATCTTAGACAAAGCATCTAGTCTTTCTGACTCTCAGATTCCTTATCTGTTAAAATAAATTTTTAAATTAAATCACGGGACACATATTTCAGTGTCTGATGTATCACAGATCCCCAAATATGAATTCTCTTCTCCTTAATCCATACAAACCACTCGGCCCAGGGGCCTATTGTTATTATCGTGGTTCTTCTCTCACTTGGTATCAAGGATCCATCACAAAATTTCAGGACTGAGGCAGATGGGGGTCAAGTCATGTATATCCTATTACAATTGGGGCTGCCAGATACAGCAAAGGAAAATACAGGATGATCAGTTACATATGAATTTCACATAAACAACAAATAAGGTTTTAATCTAACTATGACCCAAATATTGCATGGGAGATACTTAGACAAACATTATTTGTTATTTACCTGAAATTCACATGTAACTGCCCTGTATTTTATCTGCCCCACTCCCATCATTCTGAGGTTCCCTGCTCTGCAGAATTACCCAAGCCCAATCTTTAAACCCATTTCCAGGTCCCTCCTCAGATCTACTGAATCAGAAACTCTGAGTGAACAGTAGGGTATCTGCGTGTTTACCAAGCACTCTGCATGGTTCTTATGCACCCTGATGTTTGGGAACCATGGTTCAACTTTGTGGATAGGGAATGAGACTTGCAAAGACAAGGATATTGTTCTGGAAGCCTCCCACTCTCTAGAAATTAATTTTAAAGAGTGAAGGTAGAGTTTCAGTTTTCCTCTGCTGAGAACTTTTTGTAACGTGTGTTTTTAAAAAAGTTAACTTAGCAAAAATAAAATAAATAAAAGGAACCACAGGGAAGAGTCCATGTAAATTAAAAAATTCCTAAGCCATGTGACCTTCGGCCCTTCAAATTGATTTCTAGGTGCTTCCAGAACCAATATCCTTGGGTTTAGAAGTCTCCTTTATCCACGGTGTAGAAGGATGGTTCTCAAACACTGGGGCATAAGAATCACCCAGAATGCTTGGAAAACATGTAGATACACAGTATATACTGTATCTACATATACTGTATATACTGATTTATACTGCTGTATAAATCAGTTTTTAAAAAATTAGGCAGCCAAGTCAACGGCTGGCAGGTTGTAGCTAAGTGCAGCCCAGAACCACAGCAGCTCTGATCCTTGTGGAGGTCACCAGTCTAAAGCATGGCCACTGACCCTGGGTGGGATCCCACAGGTCCTCCTCGACCCAATGACCCTATCACTAACAACCTTCAGACTCACCTTTGTGCTGCAGGGAGGCCTGAAGCCTCAGTGAACATAATTATTACTGATGTGTGAACCTCAGTCAGTAAGACAAATACTCTCCAATTTGGCCACTTACCAGAACTCTCTTACATCCAGCCCCTCTTGGGTTTACAAAACTTAACTGCCAAATGTAAAAGGAATAGCCTTCTTGGGAGAAATTTGTTACTTCTTGATTTGTCTAGCAGAATTGCCAAGAGACCAGTGCTCACAGCTTTTTGAATTTTGGGCTTTTAATCCTGTGTACCTCTTGATGCCAAAGTGCCCATAAATCTAGATGTGAAGTGAGGTGCAAAGAGGGGAACAGCGACCTTAAGGAACTGAAGATGGACTGCACTCTGTTCACACCAGCAGCATCATTAATCTGGATAAAGTGGCTCACCTTTCTACCCTAACTCACCATCCTCAAAATATGAGCCCAAACTCACCTAAAATAAACTCGGAACTGACTGCAAACTCCAATCCTACAGAGGCCAGGTAGCTCACATTGAAACATCCAGGTACAGACCACTGGGAAGTGATAAGCCCTGCATGGGGCAGCAAGCCTCTGTCTCAAGGCAAAGTCCTCATGCTAGGATGCCCACCAGCACTGCCCTCTCTCACAATTTTTCAAAAGAAAACAGATATTATAATTTTTATATGAAGTCACTTGATTTTTAAATCTTTCCGATGACTTTACAGAAACTGTTGACCTAAAATAAAATGTTTTTCAAGGGCAGAGTGTTTTCTATATACTTTAAGTAATAAAGGAAAAAATTAAAGCCTTTCTATTTGAGAGGCTGGGAATAGATTGACACTTGGGAGCTACCAGGAAACAGCTCATCAGTGAATAAATATAGATAGATAGGTAGTAGAAAAATGAGTACATACACTGTGGAAAGTAGCTAATGTAACAGACACCCATACACAAGTCTGAGGTTACAGGGAAACAATTTTCATAACAACTAAAGAGGGTGATCTCAGAGGAGTAGCAGAGATTGTGACAACGGGGAACTAATAAAGCCCAAAGGTGGAAGTATTTTCAGGGACGAGATTGTCTAGCCTTGGAGACAGCTTGGAAAACAGTGGTGGCTGTTCTCTCTGGAGACACCTCAGCGGGACCTACTGGGGGTCACATGTGAAGCTGTTTTAAATATTCTGAGACGTGTGGGACAGCGACTCCTCCAGTGTGTGCCTCTGCTTTCTTCCCGGAGCCCTTGACTCATGCAGTGAGGCTGTGCACTCAGCTCCCAGCCCCGAGAGCAGAGGAGTGAAGTGGGAGTGAGGATGAAACAACACAGAAACCCAGAAGAACATATTGTTTAATTTTGTGTTGGGCTCACTGCTGGGCAGACACAGGCGCACATGTGGGAGTCTCTGCACGTGCGTGGTAGAGACCCGTGAAGGAAAACCCTCTAGATATCGAAAACCCAGCCAGGCTGCAGACAGATGCTCTTCCTAGTGAATGCAGGTCCTCCTGGGGGCAAATCCTTCCAAGGCAATTCCACTGGAATCCAGTTAGCAGTTGGCATTTTGGCTGTGACCACTGCCTCCTGGGGGCTCCCTCTCCCGACTGCCTGCCCTGATCCCAGGTCACCCGCCTGCCCCTTACCATCCGTCAAAGTCTGGAAGCACATCTTGCCACTGAACTTGCCATAGCCGGCCACAGTGCGGGCGCGCACCTGGACCACGTACACCATGCCGGGCCGTAGGCCGTCAATCCGCGCAGTGTTGGTCTGGCTCCTGGCCATGGAGGAGTTGAACTCATTGTGTTCCTGCAGGAGAGCAAGGGAAAGGGGTTGGCAGCCTGCTCCTGAGCACGTGGGCCCCTCGGTTCCGGGTCCTGCAGATCTGCTAGAAGTTGTCCCCAGCCCCAGGCCATCCCTCGAAACCCCACAGACTGGGCTGGACTTGAAGAATAATAAACTGACTCTGGACTGTGGGGTGGTGATGCTCTGAAGAGAGGTCTGAGTAAATGGCTGAGCTCTCAGGGCCTGGCAAAGGGACAGTCATTTTCTACTCTTTCCTCTCCAGGGATCAGAGACAGAATAGCAAAGCACATGCAGCTTTGCAGACCCCCTCTCACCCCTGACCTCAGCAGAAGCAAATGGCTGCATTTGCACCTGTCTGCCTCTCTTTGCATTGCTTCTGCTGAGCTCTGGTCTTTCTTCTCCTGGTCACTCCTCACAATGGCTGCTCTAGATCACTCCTTAAGAGACCTCAAGTCCTTAGACAAATGACTTTGTGTTCACTCTGCTAAGAAGCTTGAGGCCACGCTGGACTACCTCCCACACCTGCGTCTGCTTTCATCTTGGCATGTGTCTGTCTGGGTCCCCACTGTCCGAGTTCCTCTCCATCAGCATCTGCGGAGGCACGCCCCTTCTCCCAGGAGAACATGGCCTCTGTCCTCACCCCTCCCACTAGTTAGGGGGTCAGTCCCACTCTTCCATGTGTCATGCTCTTCAGCACCTTCTGCCCGGCCCGCTACAGGCCCTGTCACCTGCACATACGTATCCTCTGGTGCTCACAGACCTGCTTGTGTCTTTCTTCCTTCTGACTCTCCCACCCATCACGAGTGCCTTACTGTGTCCCTGCTTGGGCTCTCTTGGCTGCTGATCTTGTGTAACACATGGTTTGGCCTGAACTTTTGTAGCTTCCTATCTTTTCTGCCACTCTCTTCCTACCCAATCCAAAGTTCTTTTGTAAAAAAGATCTCTGACTCCCTAAAGCTATTATCAGATAGACAAAACTCCTAACTCTCAGTCCAGGGGCCTTTCATAATGCAGTCAATTCCAATCTCTCACATCCCCACCCCATCTGAACCACCACTGTGCTGCCTCTCTGGGTACCATAGCCCTGGCCTCCAGACCTTTGCTTAGGTTTTGTTCCCAGTCTGAAATGCCTCTGTCCAGCGGCTCCTCTGCATTCTCCAGTTTCCTTCAGCCTACACCCCTCAAGATCTCCTCTTCTAGGAAAGTGCCCCTCACTGTTCCAGCCCAAGGACTCTCTTCCCTGCTGCCCATCATCTTTCTACCTCACCCACATGCACCAGCTCATCTCTAATCATTTCCATGTGACCATTGTGGAGATGGTAGCTGTTCAGAGTCTAGGTCTGCCCCTGTTTTGCACTGTGAATCTTAGAACAAAATGGAGATCTAGGTCACCAGGAAGGAGGTCTCAAGTCCCACATGCAGATCTAGGGCGCTGTGATGAGTTCTAGGTATAGCAGTTCAAGAGGCAGGATGATAAATGAGGGGAAAGTTGTTGACCAGTGTGGTCTATGAGCCACATCCTTAGTCAAAGGACAGAAGAAATGTTGGGAGTTGAACTGGGACAAAAGAATACAGTACAGTGAAAAGAAATTACCATCGTCTTAAAATACGCAGAAGTCTACTGTGCAAGGGCAGAGATGACCTGATATGTGATCATTCATTCATTTGGCCAGTGGTCACAATGACAACACACTACCATGTGATGTATGCTACCAAGGGCTGTGGGTATCAAGCCATGGTCCCTGCCTTTGGGTACACAACATCTTGTGGGGTGGGGCTGAGAACTTCAGTGCTGAGTGAGTGACGGGGCAGAGGGCAGCTCAAGGGGTTATGAGGGAGCAGTAGATGGCCCTCCCAGCCCAGACTGATAAGGCGGTTGGGAGGGACTCAGAGAAAGGGTGACATGAATGAGTCCTGAAAGATGAAAGAAATTAGCCCCATGGATGAGTGAGGAGGGTAAGAACTGAATAGAATATCCTTTGAGAACAGAATAAAGCATGCAAAGGTGAGGCCAAAAGGAGATTAGGCACCTGCAAGTAACTGGGAGTCTCTGGAGGATAAGTGGCATGTAACTGGGAATCTCTGGAGGATAAGCGGCATGTAACTGGGAATCTCTGGAGGATAAGTGGCATGGGGGTGGTGACGAGTGACTTGGAAGCAGTTGGTGAGAGGCCAGAGCAAATAGACAGCTGAAAGTTACAAAGAGGCCCATGCTCACCCTAAGCGAAGTGATATATCCACTGGCCTCTGGGCGAGATGGCCTGGGGAGGGATCACCCATACATCATTTGATTTATTTGAAAAGCAGGTGGATTCCTAACCCCACTCCACCCCCAATAAGGAATTCAGCAAGAAGAAGGCTGTCCATTCTAGAAGGGATGCCATCTAAAACTTTCGTCATTACTATCTTGACATACTGAAAACATGGTCTGAAAACACGGCCCTTGCAAATTAGGACAAAATCCCATTGCTCCAAAATCTAGGCAGCTGCCTGAATTCTCTGGTTTTGCTGTGTTGGATGCAAGTGTGCACTGCTTGAAATATGTGAAACATCTCCTGGGCAGCTCTTTTCCTGAAAAATGTGTGCTGGTGTATTGGCATTTGGATGGCAAGAACCCATAATCACTTTATTGTCCATACACCCTTCAAGAAGTTCAGTGATTAAAATGAGTATCAGTCCTTGTTCTCTCAAAACCATTCATCAACCTCAGGCAGATAAGAGTGAAGAGCAGACTTGCTTTTCCTTTTCTTCTCCTTCTTTTTTTGGTTGTTTATGATTTTGTAACTGTGAGGGGGACAGATGCTGCAGCTGTTCTCCATCCCTAACATGTAGCATGGGGCTTGCCTTGCCTGGGTGTCCAACACCTCAGTGCTAAATGAATAAATAAACAGTACACTTTGGACCAGTAATTTGAACCCATGGATGGAGCACAAGATATTGCCAAGGTCTGAGTGAGTTCCTGTGAGAAAATGAAGGGTAGAAATAAATTTGAAGGGTAGAAATACTCAAGGCCTAAAGCAGTATGTCCTCGCCTAGTTAATATGAAGGGCAAGTCCATGTCTAAATGCTTAATCATTAAGACAGCCAAGAGCAGCTGTAGATGTTCTCCTTTGGTTTGCCTATAAGCACTAACGTCAGGAGTGAAAAGTGCTACAAGACAGTAAACAAGAGAGAATGATGAATGGAAGCATATTAAAATGGGGAAGAAGATGAGCATGGGAGTGGCCCTGGGAGTGTCATCAGCTTGATGGCATCTGAGCTCTCTATTAATGAGCTATTGGAGGAGACGAAAGCCTCATTGATTCCACTCACAGTACTAAAGTTGACAGGTGTCCCAAGCACAAACCAAGAGAGTGATGTGGAGTGGGAGATCCGGACTTGGAAAACTACAGCCTATGACCAACTACCTGTTTTTGCAAATAAAGTTTTATTGGATCCCAGCCATGGCCATATTCTATTGTCATCTATTGCCCATGGCCACTTCCTGCTATAAAGGCACAGTTGAGTAGTTGCATTACAGAGTATGGCCTGTAAGCCTAAAATATTTACTACCTGGTCCTCACAGAAAAATGATGCTGATTCCTAGTTTAGAGGTGGCATGGGAAGGAGGAATGATGAGTTATATTTCTTTGGACTGAATCCAGGACATCTACTGGGCTGCGTTCTGTTTGTGTTTGCATCCTCTAAAGACCAGGATTCCACACCCTTGTGTAACAGGCAGGCAAACGACTCTGGCTATAAGTATTTGGATTGAAAATTAAGATACACTCTCTTATTTCTGAAAATTAAGATACACACTCTTATTTCTGAGGCCACACTAATTTTGAGCAGCATCAACTCAATTGCATCCAGTCTTTCATTGAGCTCAGAAATATACTGAAATATAATAAAAATATCTACAGTCCCAATTCTGTGGTTCCCTAGCTGTGGCCTGTGAGGTTAAGGGTAGATCATTTGACCTTTCTGTGACTTAGTTCTATCATCCATAAATTGCTTATACTCAACTTTCAAGTATCTTTCATTTCTTTTGAGGATCAGAACTAATGTATCTGTGAATATCTGGCATATAACTGGCACTCAATATGTGATGAATTATTGTCATTGTGATTATTATTTCAAAATACCCTCACAAGATAATGTCCTTTCTTCGGAAATTAGAAATGGTCAAGGCAATGTAATGGATTTTATATTTGAGCACTTTATAAGCAAGTGAGAATTCTATCATAATATATTGAATGGTAACCAACGCTTGGGCAAAGGATCTTCTCTGTTCTGAAAGAAAGCATTCTATCCTCCAGGACAATGATCTGCCTCACTGAAGTGTGGAAGCCCCCTCTGGCATTGAACTGCTGTGCATGTGTTCTGTTAATAATTAGCATAAATTATTGAGAAGTAGCAGGATCTATAATGGGAGAATAAGCCTCCTTCACAGCATCAGAAGTCAAAGTTAATTGCAGTTTGTTTAGTGAGGAGGCTTGCATGGACAGGGAAAGTCTGTGGAGGATTTGGGCGTGGGTTGGGGAATGAGGAGTTGGGGGACAGAGGCCTGAGCCTCATGGTTTCGGTTCTGAGGCTTTCGCCCCGCCCTTGGTGACTGCCCTTGGCACAGCAGGAGAGGAGGAAGGGCAGGTGGCTTCCCATACATCTCACCGCTTCCCAGCACCAGCACAGGCTACAGGACAAAGAACCCGGGCTAGAGACTCCCTTTCTAGCTGTGTGATCTGAGCAAGTTGGGCTTGTTTTTTTAAACTTCTTTATGTATTTGTTTCTTTACCCCAAACAATGTTATTAATATTTACCATATTGGGCTGTGAGGGGGAGAGATTATGTTTAAAAAGCCTCTGGCACCCAACAGGCGCACACAAAGGAGAAATTATTATTTATTTGAGATGAGCTATAAGGCTCAAGTTCATGCGTGTATGGGAAGGGGATTGGGTGTGACCTTACTGGTGACTGACTCTGCATCACACCATATATGGTCAAGCATGATATTCTATTGAAGAAGGTCAACAGAACTAGGTATAGGTCAACTTGAATTTGGTCCAGGTCAACTTTGGTGGTGAAATGAGATCATGAAATCAATAGGTCCAGATTGGTCCAAAACATTTTTGGATTTGTCCAACATTTACTTCATTAAATGATAAAAAAAAATAGCCAATAAGGACCCTCAGTTCAAAGCTGAATGAAAATAATGGTGGCTTATGAATCCAGATCATGTGAATTACTCCCAGTTCCCTGAATTGTCAGAATCAACCATCTGTGAAACTCAGAAGCCTCTAAATGAGCAAAAAGTTGCCTAACCATCACCTTGCTTGCAAATTTGGCTACAACAGCTGAAGGGCACACCTCCTTGCAGGCTAGATTGGTGATCCATCTGGGTTTCTGCTTTCAGGAAAGTAAATTGGTGAATTTTACAAATGTGAAAACTGACCTAGAGTAAGTGGTTCGGTAACGGGACCACATCTGTGTGGTTGTCAGTTACGGACGGCTCTGGAAATGAAGGCTCCCTTCCCAATGCAGTCATGCTCCATTTCAACACTGCCTCCATGTTGGAGTCTGCAGGTTTTCATCCTAGAACCTCTTCTTATCTCCAATGACCCACTGGACAGTCTCACCTGGGCTCAGGGCTTCCACACACTGACAATTCCCAAGTGGTCATCTCCAGCCCAGTCCACGGCCCTGAACTCCAAATGTGCATATCTAGCTGCCTGCTGCACATCTCCACTTGGCTATCTCAGAGGCATTTTAGACACGAAGCTGAGCATGTCTTCCCTCAGCCCAGACATGCTCCAGCCACAAGTGATCCCATTCTCATTCATCTTAGTGACTCAGGCCCAAACACTCCCAGTTGAAAATCCAACCTGTTGGAAATCCTGTTGGCTTTGGCTTTGGCCCCCATCCTTGCCTTAGATTATTATAACTGAGCAGGTCTAATTTCAGTGGAAAAGCTTGAATGATCCTTTTAAAAGTCAGATTCTGTTTCTCTTCTGCTCCAAACCTGCTATGGATCCCAATCTCATTTGTGGAAATGCTCAGGTTCTTATAGCCCAACATGAGCACCTGCTCTGATTACCTCTCCCCTGACTATTGTTTTCCTGTTGCTCTTATGAGTCCAGTCATGCTGGTCTCCTTTCTGCTCCTTGAGCCAGCATCATTATCTGGCTGCAGGGCCTTTATATAGGCTATCTCCCGCATGCCTGCTATACAACACCCTTTCCTCCTTCAGGTCTTTACTTAGAACTTACCTTCTCCAAAAGCCCCACTTTTATCATTCTGTTTATTTTTGCAACTACTCCTCCCCTAAGCCTGACCATTCTGTTCCCATTTACCCTGATCTACTTCCCCCACTTTAAAGTCCTCATTTTCTAACATACTGTATGATACCCTTATTAATTATGCTCATTATTCATTTTCTGTCTACTTGCATTAGAAAGTAAGCTTCTTGAGGGCAGGAATCCTTGTTTGATCACTAGTATATCCTAGAATAGTACTTGCAAAATAGCAAGCACTCCAAAAAAAAACACAAAACTTGCCAAACAAATATAAATGAATAAATGGTGTTTGCACAAATACTGTGTTGGGTCAGTATATAAGAAATACTGTATTTTCCTGGGATGTTGCAAGTGTTATAGTTCACCATGGTGGGAGGAAAGACCTGCTTCCCCCACAGATAGGCCAGGGGTCAATACCACAGGGCACCACTTCCCTTTTCTTGGCAGAACATGCCCTGTTGTAGTCCCCAGCAACAGGTGTGCGAGAACAAAGAAGATAATGTACAAACTTCTATTTCTATTCATTTCTACCTCTCATTTTTTTCATTTCTGGTTAGATATCTTAAACCATACATACGTTAGTAAATACATGCATATGATTTATAAATAAAAGATCTTATATTTGAGGTACATAATCAAAAACTTTGAAAAACACTAATTTACAAAATCACAAAATCTTCAGAAAATTCAGGGGACACTGGTGGGTTTGCAGCACAGCAAACACATGTAGCAAGTACGTGACTGGGAGAATGGAATTGGTCTTGCCCATCCACGACAGCCCAGTGAGTGGCCCAGACAGCGGGGTGGGGTGTTGGAAGCTTCTCTCTTGAGTTGGTGCAGAAAGCGCCTGGGTGCTGGAGGCCTTTGCTGAGGCAGAGCTGGGGAGTGCTCTCAGGGAGCCTCTGGCCTCTGTCACCAGATTCCTCCCCCCATCAGGACTCCCTCCAGCCTGTATCCCTGGGCCCTCAGCTGGCTACCACCCACACAACAGTGGCTGGCCCTGAATCTTGCAAGCCTGCAGGCAGGACTGGCTTACCTTCTCATAGTACCGGATCTCATAGTCCAGGATGATGCCATTGGGTTGCTCCGGCTGTGGCCATGACAATGTGATGCTCCTCATGGTAGCACTGACCTGGTGCATGATGGGAACAGTGGAAGGGGCTGCAGAGAGAGCAAGAGATAGGGCAGTTGAAAAGACCCTTGATGATATGAGAAAGGTTGTCTTTCAGAGATAAATAGGCAGAGAAATGCTATTGGGTTGGAACTCTGCCTTTTCTTTCTCATCAGCTCAGCTGGATCTACAGAAATTCTTGTAGGTTTTGCAGAATGAATTGAGTTTAGGTACCAAAGGAGAGAAAAGGTGACAATTAAGGACAGGAAGACATGTATGAGGGTGGTCTCTGGAGTGAAGAAGCAGAAGAAAGGTTTCACCAAAACAAGAGAAGGCTGGAAAAACCACAGGAGAACAGTATGAACTGACAAAGCCAGAGTTAGGCATGAAGGGCATGACCAGAAGGAAAAATCTGTTTCAGGTAATGGATCACAAGGAGCGATGGACTGTTTTTGAGCAGATGGTGTTGAAGGAAGCTCAGTCTTGCAGTAACGGAGTGAGCCATCACAGAGAAGAGAATGTGGAGGCAAAGTCTGTCAGCAAAAGGGTCAAGCTGGTCAGTGATGAACTGCTGTGCAGTGGAAAAAAGCATTCTAGCAAACATCTTCTGAGACTGCATGGAAGATTTTGCTGTGTTTCAAAAGGAAGAGAGGCGGCATCTCTCCAAAAGATATGAATACAGGCCAGCAACAGAGTTCTTTTTGACTTCTGTCACAGTTTTCCAAATGAGGACATTTGCTATTGAGCGCTCACAAATATAAATGAAGAAATGATACACAAACCAAACATTTGGAAACAGAATAATAATTTCAAAATCTGTGAAGTGCTTCTGAAATCTCTGTTTAAAAAGAATATTATTTATTTCCCAATTCAACATTTTTCACACAGTGTAAGTAAAATGAAAACAGTCTGGAAATAATAAATGAGGGCTGTCTGTCTAGGAGAGAAGCGGGTAATGGATGAGGCTGCAGTCTGCGCTCTGTTCAGGGGCTGTTCCGTTTAGTCCTGGCACTTCTGCAGTGATGAAGGTCGCTTCCTCACACGAACTCCACTTTACAAGGCTTTCTCTGGGGACTTTGGCTGAGTGGCATTTACTGTCCTGGATTTAAGTTAACAGATTCCCCTCTAGGACCTGAAATTACAGAGCACAGCTGCTGGGTCACAGGGCTCCCTCATTCTCCATTTCTCCATGATCTTAGGACTCTCAGCAGACACCTACTGCATGAGGCCCGTGGGTGGGGTGGAGATGTAGGGAAGATGCAGGGAAGATATTAGGAAGATACTCATAGTCTGGGGGAGCCATAAAGAGAGCACAGAGTGAGAGGTGCTGTGATGAGCCCTCAGAATCACAGTGTTCATCTGGGACTTTGCCCACATCCCATTAGAGACCTTGTGATGTCTGTGAAAATACGCCCCTCAGAGCTCCTACTCCTGGAAGCATAACTGACTAATGGCCCCAGCTGCAGCATTCTGAGATATATCACTGCATCCATGTGGAGCTATTTCCCACACGCTGCTCCCACCCAATGACTGAAAGTGGTGGGGATGCTATGACAGGTCCATTCTTAACTCTTCCGATGGGTAACTTATGCTCAAACACGCCCCACTGGACTTCCCAACACTTCCCTGCAACTCATGTCCGTCTAAGGCTCTTCCCACTCAATCCTCCTTCCTTCCTTCTCTCCTTTAGAGGGATCAGATCTTCACTGTGGTCTGATAGCTCTCCCAGCCTCCTCTGGCCTCCACCGCACTTCCCCAATAAACCTTTGGTATATCTGGTTTCATCATGGCATCTGTGAATGGAGGACCTGAATTGACGCAGTTCTGAACCCCCCTATCAATTATTCTCTGCCAGTCCTGCTGCATCCCTGGGGACAGCAGGCTCACTGACAACAGGAGTGCCTGCTCCAGGCCTGGGTATCTCTCACCAATGTGCATGTCTTCCTTATCCTTATCTGAAATATGTCTTGGAGATTCCCACTGGTCTTGGTTCTGCCAACTGAATACAGAATGTTCCCTCTTTCACAGAATGGCTTGTCAAATAGCTAAAGAAACTAGTTAGGTCTCCCCTGAGTTTTTCCTGCCGAAAAGAATGGCCAGATCCTATGGAAATTTCTCCCATGATATGCTGCCACCTGAGGTGGCTCTCTTCCAAATGGGGCTTGTTATCTAAATCTCTTTAGGCATAAGGCCCTGAGGTGAATCCAATTCTCTCACTGTTGTTCGAACAGCAAAGATTAGAGTAAAACTAATATCTACCATGACCTGTGTACTATGCATCTATTCATATGACCATAAGCCTTTGCTTCAAAAACACATACCTGCGATTTGATTTTGAAACCACTGTCAATATAACCTTTAGGTTTTCCCATGGTATGCTCCTCATCTTTTGTCTATAGAGTTGGCTTTTTGCTTGGACTACAGGGATTTACATGTACCTTCACAGTGTTGAATTTGGCCTATTTGTTAAGAAAGTGGAAATAATTTTTGATCCTGCCTCAACTATCACATGCATCTTCTCTTCTTCCCAACTTAAGATCATGGCCCAGATCCACTTAATTAACTATCTAAACAAGTATTTACTGAGCATCTGTCATGTGCCAGTAATCATTCTAGGTTCTAGAGAGTCCATGATGAACAATTTAACATTTTATGTCTTCACAGAGCTTATTTTCTAGTGGAGGGATTCAGAGACTAGACATAATAAATATACAAATTACAAGGTATGTTAAAAATATCAAGTACAGTGGGGGAAAATGGAGCAGAGGAGAAGGGATACAGAACGCTATAATGTAGGAGGCCAGCTGGGGAGAGGCTGCAATTCTGAATCAGGTGGTCAGTCAGGCCGGCCTAAGGAGCAGGTGTAGGAGCAAGGGATGGAGGAGGGAAGAGAGGGAGGCAGGTGGATACTTGGGAGGACAGCCCATGAAAGGGAAATGTCAGGGCCATGTTCTGATCAGGGAGCAGCCAGCCAACAGTAAAGAGCCAGTGGGACTGGTGCAGAGATGAGGCCACAGATGGTAGGGCCGCAGGAACACTAAAAGAGGACCTTGGCTTCTACTGAGTGAGATGGGGACTCACGAGAAGGTCTTCAAACAGGGAAGTGGCATCATGTTTCATGTATCACCCTCTGTTGTGTTGCAAATGGAGTGCAGAGGCTGTGGGAAAGCTGAAAGAACTACCCTAACACAACTGCAATAGTCCAGCTAGAAGATCATGGTGATTTGGACCAGACTCGGAGTGGTGGAGGCAATGAGAATGGGGATGGTCAGATTCTGAATATACTTAAGACTATCTCAGTGGATGTGGGATGTGGAAGAAATAGAAGAGTCATCATGACTCCAAGGTGTCTGGTTTGAGCAGCTGGGAAGTTTTTGGGTAGGGGCACAAGGGAGATCAGAGAAGGCACTGGTATAGGCAGTCTGGAAGGAAAGACCAGGTGCTCTACTTGGGACCTGCTTGCTTTGAGACATCTAGGGTGTACCAGACTAGTAGATGGCTGAGGACAGATGCATGTAGAAGAGGTCCGGGCTGAAAATATAAATTTGAAGTCACCAGTATGTCATATCAAAAGCACCGGAAATGACAGAAATGACCAAGTGGAGCAGAAGAGGTTATATAGTCTAAGATTCAGGAGATGAGGGAAAGCTGCCAAGGGGCCTGAAGAGAAAGACCAGTGCTCTGGAAGGAGAACCAGAGTGTGATCTCCTAGAAGCCAAGCAGCAGTGTTCCCAGGAGGACAGGATGTCCGAGGTGCAGCTGTTGAGTTACTAAAGTAAAATTAGGCACCGAGTGTGGATTTGGCACAGGCTGGATTGTTAATGGTGGGGGGCGGGGTGGGGTGGGGTTGACTGTCTCTCCAACACCTGTGTTCACTGTGTGCGGAGCCCCAGGAGAGGATGGAGCTGCTTCAGGGAGAGTGAGGCTGTGTTCTGGAGTTTGTAGAGATGGTCTGGGATCCTGCTGGGTCCACCAGGATGGGTGGGAATGGCCTCTTTGAATCTTCTCCCCACCATCCCAACCCCTGCCCCCAACCACCACACTGAAGGGGCTACCCTTTCAGTCCTCTGTGGAAACAGGCTCATTTGACACGATGTTACTCATATCAGGGCCACACAGATTTTCAAGATCCTTCTGCCTCAAAAGCTGAAGCATTATGTATTAAAAATTGGAAAGGTTAATCCCAATGACCTGAGGATTTTGATGGGCTTGGTTCTTTTCTTTGCCTTGAATCCCTGGAAAGCCATCGTTCAAAACTTAGCATATTTGCCATCCAAGGTGCCAGGCCCCTGCTCTAACCACTCAGGACAGAAGGACAAGTAAAGTCACAGTCCTGCTTGGAGGTCCCGGTTGGGGTCAAATGACAAAGAGACCCTCATAGGGTGGGTTGATCCAGAATCAAAGGAGTCAAATCCACAGACAGGAACGCCCCTGTTACATAGGTGGCAAGGACCTCCTGGTAGCCCATCAGCAGCACGCAGACCCAGGAGAAACTGCCAGAGGGTGACAACCACCACGGCCAGCATTCCTCAGATTTATGGTGATGACGTTGTGGTCACAGACCCCATGGCAGGCTGTTTATCCTCATATAGGTCATTCTAAATGTCTTACCTTTTAATTGAGATGGGATTTTGCACAGGGGAGAAAGTGAGAAAGTATTACTCCACCTCCCTGAAGATCAGGGGCAGAGTACATCTGGTACTCTGCCATCAGTCATCACCTACAGTGACAACTTCTTTCTCCTTCAAGTGCAAATGCCACCTCTAAATCCAAAGTTTTCCATGCAAGAAAATCTTCAGACCAAACAAAACTAAAAAGTGTTCAGGTATTTCATTCAAATACCAACTGCTTTTAGCAAAACTAAATCAGAGTAAGATAGGAGGGAAAATTAATTCCAAGAAGCAGCTCCTAGAACCCCAAATACAATGGTTTGAACAGTATACCCTGGCCAGCTGTCTTTTCTCATAAACCTGCATCCTCAGATGAAGGGCTAGTTTCACTGAATCCTTGAAAGAATTTCTTCTTCACAAGCACACAGATCACTTTTGAC